GATATAATATCTATAATAATCATAACGTTTGATTAATATTTCAACCAAATTTGATATCTTTAAATTCGATACAAAATATATATTTTCCTTTTTTTTGTTTATTTTAATTTAATCTTTCACGATTCAAATGAAATATTTTCCCGATGTTACGATAATAATATCAACAACTTGTTAATCCAGAGTCGTATTAAATCGTATTCAAATAATAGTTTGGCGGGGGGAGGGTAAGGAGAAGGGAAAAGAGGTCAACTACGTTGAAATTTTGACTTAAGATTTTAGAAGTATATTTTTGAATAATTTAACAAGCGATTTATAATGAAAAAGAAACAAATTTCATTTTTTTGAAGCCTCTCCACTTATCTTCCCTCCTCCTTTGAACCCATTCGAGACCACTCGCACACTGTGTGTGCAAAAACTTTTTTCAAAAAAGGCCCGATTGCACACCGTGTGGGTAATGGTAATAATGAACTATTATCAATTATTTTGAGTAAATTATTCGTCGAGATAAGACTTCTTTTGTATGAATATTATCTTTAAAGTATAAAAAACCAAAATTTAGTATTGGTTTTCATGTATACCAACAAAAGAAAATGTTTGGATTATCAAAATTTAGATTTTTACAAAATATCAATGCAATTTTACTTTACAATCTGTGTAGTATTTCCTAAAAATATATTTACAAATTAGATTTTCTTTTTCATTACTGAGTTGTATTACTTTATTAACTTTAGACATTTTTTCTAAAATTTTATTTATCGTTCATATTATTTTCTTCTCATTATTCAACTTATTTTGGTTGACTTTTGACTATTTTTTACAAATTTTTTTTTAATTTTATATTCTGTTTTTCATTATCGAAGGCAAAATAACAATTTTATGTTATCTAATTATTTTTCAAATATATGTTTATCAATTTTAATGATTTTATTTTATCTCATATTGTATACATGGTGTTCAATCTTTTCCTCGCAATACAAATTTGCTGAGGTGATTTCACACGGTGTGTGCACATTCGAAATCACTTTACGAATTTGGTAATTTTCATAGTAGACACAACAAGTTTTATTATTAAAAATGAACAATATAATGAAAAATAATGGCTACTGGAAACCGTGTTCAAAAAAAGTCGTGGTCTCGAATGGGTTAACACTTTGACATTGCCATGTTGGTTATACATGACAGGCCACGGTTTCTTCTGAAACGCCACGCTGGTCATTGGGGACCTGAGCGTATGAACCTTTTACAATTGTAAAAAATTAAATGAAAATTGAAAGTTAGTGTATTTGAATACAACCAGTATTATAAAAGATACTTTGAAATAAAAACTACCCTATTGAACAATTACAATTTTTTATATTAACATCAATTTATTATTATTTTGCCATTATATTCTTTGAATAATAAAATAATTACATGAATATAATAAATATATAAAATAATGTTAATAAGAAAAAAATAAAAAAATAATAAAAAAAAAATAAAAATATATAAAATAATAATAAAAATAATTCCGTGGTGTCCTGGGCAAAACACGTGATTTCGGCGTGACAGTCAAAGGGTTAAGAAAAATTTCTATCCATAGAAAAAATGATTTCAATTCGAAAAAGTGATATTATACCTCTAAACAAATCACATTCGTTGACATTGTATGTATCATCGGTTGAACCGTAGAAGCATCAAAGGGGATGAAAGTTTTAGTATAGCGGCAAGGTCGTGATTAGCGGAACAGGATTAATCTCGTGGACGGTTGTGCGAAACTGCGACGGGACTCTGTACACCAACGGTTCTCAACGACGGATTAGGTTCAGAGAATGTGAGGAGAGACAAAAACAGGGAGAGAAAGGTTGAACGGAGAACGAACACAACAGATACACCCGTACAAATACACATAAAGAAAGTGAGAGAGAGAGAGAGTGAGAGAAAGTGAGAGAGGGAAGGGGTTAGAAGGGTAAAAGGGATTGGCTCATGAAAGCTGCAGGGCTTTAGAGTTGCGAGTGTAACATAAACGATAGCCTTTTAAATCCCATAAGAGGGTTGGGTTCCCTTTCCTCTTCTACCTTTTCTCATCCTCTTGCTAGCTTTCCTCTCCCCTTTCCCCAAGTCCCATATCCTCATTCTTGAATCTGAAGGGAAGGCAGGCAGGCTTCCGTCAGTGCATTTCTGCTGTTATACTTCCCCGTTGTGACGAAACTTGAATAGAAACCCTAATTTAAACGTTATGAACAAGCTTGCCAGGCAGGTAGCATGGAACAGACCATAACGTGAAGATAATATCTTCAGGCTGTTCTCTTCTGTTGGATCATGTTGTTCGGATAATATTATCATTCATTTTCTTTAGGTAAAATATCCTATGTGGATTTATATTTTCCTTTTTTCATTTTTTTATCTTTTCTTTTTATTTTCTTTTTATTTTCTTTCTTGTCGTCTATCCCGCGTTTGTTTTTTATTCCTTTAATTATCTTTATCTTTTCGTCTTTTTGTTAATATTTTTTTTATATTTTTTTTTAATCTTTTTTTTCATTTGCATTTTGCAACGAGATCGTTTGTTCTAAAGATTTTGCTTGAAAATATCTCAGGTCCTATCTTTCTTTCTTTTTTTCTTTCTTTATTTCTATCTTTCTATCTTTATATCTTTCTCTTTATCCTTATAAATTTTTTCTGCTTTTGTTTTTTCGTTTTCATATTTTTTCTTTATTTAAAATTTTCTCTTGTAAAATATTTTTCTATTGTTTTTATGTTCATTCGTCGTCGTCGTCGTCGTCGTTGAAAAACAAATAATTTAAACAAGGTTCGTATACATTACCTCTACGTTGTCATTGTTTTTATTTTTCTTTCTCTCTTTATTTTATTTTATTTCGTTTGTACGAATATATTTTGTTGGAATATATCAGATACCAATTTTAGGATTAATCGATTTAGTTAGATTGTTATAATGTGAAAAATCGTAGAAGGGGAGAAAAAAATTACGAAATTGCATGCGATGGTTGGCAGTGAGGGGTGGTGTGGGCGGTGGGGGGGGGTTTGGAAAAGCAATAAAAGGTCGTAGAGCAGTGAGGAAGATAGAAAGAGAGAGAAAGTGGGAGGGTGGGAAAGAGAGATAGTGATATCGATGACTCTTCTACGATGTTCAAAGAGAAATGGGACATCGATTTTTGGTTTCTTTATGGCATTGATTAAAAACGCATAAGGCCTTTGCGGCATACGGATTTTATTTCATTTTTTTTTACTTTTTTTTTTAAGGGGTTTTATTCCCAAACGAGTTTTAGAAAATGTATTCCAACCAATTCGTCGAGATATTTTGAATAATCGAAAATTCGAATTTATTTTAACTACGAAATATATAAAATTCGTATGGTATAATAAAATTTTGATAAGCAAATGAAATATAGTCTATCATTTCTGGTATCGTTGATTTTATTTAACCTAAATTTATAAATAAGATTCAATAAAAAAAATAAAAAAAGAAATAAAGAATCAAACATTTAGAAGAAATTTAATTTCCTGTCTCTCTTTTATTCTTCTTTTTTTTTTTTAAATTGAAAACACGGGATATGGGGGTAGAGTAAGAGCAATCAAAAAGGCAAAGTCTTGTTTATATGCCATTAATTTCGAATAACCGAAATACGAATAAGATTTAATGAAAAAAAAAAAATAAAATAAACAGTAAAAAAGGTTTTTCTACCTTTATCTTATATTTTTCTTTTTTTTTTAAATTGCTTGGGTAGTGGAAAAGTAATCAAAAAGTAAAATCCTGTTTATCTGTCGTAAATTTCAAAATATTATGTAAAAACCGAATAAATAGAGGAAGTTAATTAATTTCCTCCCCGTCCTCCTTCCTTTGTTACTTTGCATTAGGAAAAAAATTGATTCGAACTAATAAAAAATATATACTCGCGTAGAATTAAATTCTTCTACCCGCGTGAAATTCCGATATAAAAGAAAATGAATTAACGTGGAAAATCATTTTCTCATTTGTTCTCGTGTGTTATTAATAAATAAATAAATAAATAAATAAATAAAAAAAAAAAAAACAAGAAAAAATTCACGCTAATCGAAAATTTATTAATTCGATTAATTATTATTGTTGCCGTGTATTTTAATGTGTTGAGAATGTTGTAATTCTAGTTGAATACGCATTAAAGCTAATTTGTAATTTACTGAAGAGAGAGAGATACGTACTCACAATTAGACCGGAACGAGGTATAATGGGGAAGTAGTAACATGTCGACACGAAATTATTATTCTTGATTATGCTATCATCTATGGGATTTTCATTATTAAGGAAATACATAAAATCGTAACGATAGGTTATTCTAAGTAATAGATATTCCAGGATATTGATATTGTTAAGTCTCTTATCGAGACGGTTTACATAGGATCACCAAGCGTATTAACGTGCGATTTGCCGATTAATTGATGTTGGAGATCAGGGTGAGGGATGAGGAGGAGGAGGGGGAGGGCTGGGGATAACACTGACAACAATGCGTATTATCGGACTCCCAAATGGGACGTTAATCGATCAATGTTGCTACGTTCTGTCTTTGATTGAAGTCAAACAATGTGACGAGTGGAAATTAAACGAGTTAAATCTAATGTCATCGAGAAGATTTAACTCTAATTAAAGTTACGAAAAAAAGTAAAAACCTCGTTTTTTTTTTTAATTAGCATTAACAACGAATCCCTAATAAAAAGAAGACATACGTATAATCGGAATTTAAAGGATTAAATCACGATATTTCCTTTTTTTCTAGCAAGCGTTGATATCTTACGATTAAACAAGAAAAAAAAGAATTTAATTATAACAATTAAAATAAACGTGATTTAAACTCGAAACGAATGATGTACTATAATCTCAGTGAGATTACGTTAGGTACGGACGATTAAATCGAATTACCTGTCAAAGGTAAAACATACACGCTTTGCTTTACATGTGATTTGGCACTTCGATCGATACGCGAATATTACAAACGCATATGCATCATATAAGTATGCGTGTATTATTTCGAGTTAATTTAAAATTCTTTTCTTTTTTTCTGGATTCGTTGTAAAAGTATTGTTGAACGATGTGAACGTCGAAAATGTCAGCTTTCTTTTTCTTCTTATTCATTTTATGTATTTTGAAAATACACATTGAAAGCTTATTATTCGACTAAAGTCAAAGTTATTACATATAGTAGTAATATTTCCTTCCCCATAACCAAACTCGTTAGGTAAGTTATAGATTGGATTGAAATCGTTTACGTGATATTACACCGAGTGTCTTCTCATGGAAATTGCGATATGGTTCATGACATAGAACCTAGCCAAGAGACTTGCGTACTGACAAAGCTAGCTAGGATCGCGACAAGATCATCACCATTAATCATACCGAATGTTACGGGGACGGATCGCTAGATAATTCTTCCATCTGTGTGCTCACCATCATCATCATCATCCAGTGAGTGGTATGCACCACACGCACGTATGATTCTCACAAACTCCACAACGTTTCCTATTCCCCCAAGTTTCCTTTTTCGATATTTCACCATTTCTTTTTTTTTGTTTCCACTCGAAAAAGTTTATTTAGATTTAATCGAATACCCACCATATAATTTTCGTTTGAAACTTCTTCAAATTTCTTCATGTCACAGTTAATTAACGCTAAACCTATTAACATCTTATATGTAATTCTTATTTATAATTTAATTGAAATCGATCAAATGACCGGGTATTTGTTGATCAGAAGGTAATATAATATTCGATATAACGGAGAAAATTAAAATTCATGAATAACCGGTCATTTGATTTGTGGTACGTTTAGTGTTAATAATACACCGTATATAATATAAATAGTTCGGTAATGTTAGCAAAATTACTGTTTGAAATTAGATAATACAAATATTGAAGTAACAATGATAAATAGAAAGTATAAAGATAAAAATAAATTTATTAATTGACAAATAATATTCAATCATTTGGAAAACAATAATTTTTGCTAACTCCCGTGAACATTTCCTAACGACTAATTTATTATTTATGATAAGATAATGATAAAAATGTGAGATATAATGAAATAATGTAATTTATGAGAAAAGGTGGACGAAAGTGTTGCAAAACTGTGTTGCATTGCAGCCGGATTGTCGCCCTTGATGACAAGGACAAGTACACGTGCAGGTAATGCGTTGCTGGTTTCACAGGTGTAGTTGCCCGAATGTCGATCAGATGCACGTGGTACCTCGAGCCAACTTTCCCGTGCTATCAGATCGGTGCTGACATTGACGCCACGTTCTATGTCGTAGTTGATCATTCGATAGTTGTGGTACCAGAATAGATAAGATGGTGTTTCCGTTGACTTCCTGACGATGCAGTGAAGTTGAAGAGTACTTCCGGGCCTCACGTATTTCTCCGGGGGTCCGCTTATCTCAGCTCTGGCTTCTGGAAAACGAGCGAACAAACGAGAAAGAGAGAGAGAGAGAGAGAGTGCTGTTGAAACGTTTAAATATGTTCTCTGTTTACCCCCACTTCTACTCCTACTCCTACTCCCACTCCCACTTCAACGCCCACTCACACTCCAACTTCAACTCCCACTCCCACTTTTTTCCTTTTTTTCTTTTTCTTATCTACCCTTTTCATTTTTATATTGCTGCTTTTTTTTTCTTTTTTTCTTTCTTTCTTTTACGTTTTGTTTCTCTTTTATAATACACGCAAGAAGGGTCGTTTCAAAGTATCGCCGTATCAGACCCGTCAGTATTTTACGGATTAATGATAGGAACGATCTAATTGCTTACTCGAGCGACACCATTTTCTGAAGCTTCGGATAATATATCTCTTTTGGTATTATTGAATTTAATAATAAGAACATTGTGTCATATAACGAGAAAAATGATTATTATTTCGATAGAATGCTTATTGTTTGTAGTAATGTTTTAATTGAACATTATTCTTTTACAATATTCGATCATTTGTACTAATATTCGAAAGAATTACTTTTGTTTTATTTATTTATAATCCGTAATGAACTGTTATGTAACTGTATTCTGCGATACGAAGTATGACTTCATTATTTTCCTTTTGTTTTCTTTCTTTCCTTTGTAAGCAATATCAAATATCAAATCGTACTACCATCAGGGTTGAGAGTTTAATTATTTGATCGATAAAATTGTACTTTATAAAACGAAACAATAATTGGATATTTTTTGTTTCGATTGAATTGTATAAATGGTTAAGCATCGATATATCAGAATCGGGGTTTCAATTTCTGATCGACAGTTTGAAAAAGATGAATAAAAAGAAAACGTAGTTGTTTTGAACTTTTATGAATGAAAAAAGAACACACACGTATATACACACACAGACAAAGAAAGATTACATCAGGATAGGTTTTTTTAAGAATGTCAATTGCACGCGGAAACGCGAAATGTGACGAATGACAAAGCATTCGTAAGAGTCAACATACTTTGTTTGTCCAGTCCATTTGATTCGAAGTTTGTTCGAGTGTAATTGTAATAGTAATGTTCAATACGAATAGAACTATTCGGTCATGGTCGAATAGACTTCAAATTTTCGTGGTCGTTGCTTTCGAACGATAAACCGCAAACAAATTTACCGACCTACGAAATCTTTTCTGCGTTTACTTTGATCGATTAATACTCATCTATATATGATTATTCGCAGTTTAGGAATTAGGTTAAACGTTTGAAAGAACAAAAAATATCGATTAGAATTATTATTGCTCAAAATTGAATAAGGTTAGTTTTTTAAGAGAAATCTTTTGAAAATTGTTCATTTGTGTATCATAAATGTAAAAATTAAAAATATTGAGCTGTCCGGAAAGTTCGTGCCGATTTTGACGAAAGATTGAAATGCAACGCATTTAAGTTTTTTTTTTGGTTTATATTTATTAAATTATATATAAGTGCTATTCTGTTCGACAACCTTCTCTCTACCTTTAAGGATAACTTAATAATTTGGTTTTTTTCAGAACTTCTCAGATTTTTTTAGCAAAAGAACTTTATGTCATCTATCGAAAATCTGCACGAACTTTTCGAACAACCCTATATAATTGGTATAGTAATTTATTGTATATGTGTAATGTAATTTTAGTAATAAATTGATTATTGATAATTTGTAAACATTTTTTTTAATTATATTAATATTTTCATATTTTTTTATATAAACAAAATATATATATATATATATATATATATATATATATAATAAGTGTAACAATTAAAAATATAATTGGTATAGTAATTTTTAATAAAATAATAATTTTAATATTATATGATATAAAAATATAATAATATAGTTGCAAAAAAAATTTTGCAAATTATTAAAAATATATATTTTATAAATTATAATAATAATTTAATAAAATTATTATATAATAATAATATTAATAATATTAAAATAATAATATTTTTATATATTTTTTTATAAACAAAATATATAAGTAATCTAGAAGAATATAAAAAAAAATTGTTAGAAAAACAAATTTGCGAATAATTTATTACAAACCTAGCTTTGAATATAAAATATCTATTCTAATATTCATATCTCGATGGTATGATAAATTATGCTTCTAAAATCGAGTTTTTTTTTTTCATTTTTTTTCTAATCTCGATAAGAATTGATGATAAGGTGTGCAAATGTTGCAATACCATTCCGTTCGATGAATGCACTTTGCATTAGAATTCGATATTTTCTGATGCACACTTACGGTTTTTGATAATCGATATTGTAGATATATTTGTTACTGTATTAACGTTTATTCTTCCCCCCACCCCTCGTGTCTTTTTCCTTTATAGGATGGTTAAACGTTATTCGCGTGTTTCGTACTATCACCATTATCATCGTTTTTACTATGTATAAATATTGTTTTTCATTTTTTTGCTTTTTTTTTTAAACTCACAAAATTTCAAAGGGATCCTCAATTTACCCGAGCTATCGGTCCAAACTTTTAGAAATAATTTTTTATAATATACGTATACCGATTTTACGTTATCCGATACATACACACATAAATACATACACATATCCAAAGCTATTAATTGCTTATCGCATCAAAAGTTTCCTCATCCTTCCCTCTTCTATTTTATCCGGGCACACAAAATTCTTTTTATCTGTCCCCTCTCGTAATGTGTACTCGATAATTTGAAAAGGTAGGAAGAAAGGGGTGGAAATAATAATAATAATAATAATAATAATAAAAACATGAGAACAAACGAAAAATATGAATAAAAAAAAAGGAAGTAAATAGAGAGAGAGAGAAATGAAAGAACGCGGAATGTAAAAGCTAATCGATAGACTCTTTCGAAAAAAAGGTAGAATAAAGAGAAGTTTGAAGAAAAGCAAAGTTAGCTATGGTAAAAGGAATATGAAAAATTTTCTACAAGAGAAAACGCGGACCGAAATCGGTAAACTTTTCGCAACGATTTACGTTGTTCGCCCTAGCCTTTTTTCTCGTTCGAGAAAATTTCTTTCTCTCTCTCTCTCTCTCTCTCTTTCTCTTTCTCTTTCTCTTTCTTTCTTTGTCCTTTTTTCTCGTTACTTTTAAAGCCGCTTAAACTCGTTTATACATACTACGAATAATAGAGAATCTGAAAGCTTTTCGTATTTACACGTTGAATAGAACGCGACGAAGTATATATCGATGAATTACTTACGAGAAAGGTCTTATTTAACGTAAACAAAAGGAGAACAAGTTAAAGAGAGAGAGAGAGAGAGAGAAAATATTTTTTAGTATTAGACTTTTATTATTACATTTTTTAAACCTAAAAATATATAATACATGTAATGTATGTAAATTTGAATGTTACTTATTCACAAGTTGGTTTTATTTAACGTAAGCAAAAAAAAAAAAAAGAAAGAGTGAGAGAGAGAAAGAGAGAGAGAAAATATTTTCTATAATATTTTTTTATTTATTTTTTCAAATTTCCTTTTATTAATCCACTTTCAGCTAGATTAGACAAATGTTTTAAAAATACCTACATAAAACTAGTATTTTATAATCTAGTTAAAGAGTTCATTCTATCGATATAAAATTAACACTTGGCAGGCGGGTATACTTCGCCGTCAAGTTACTCGTGCAGCGGGCATTTTTTAGTGAATCGCTCGGGAGTTTGGTCAAAAATTTCTTGTATCTTATTTTTTGCGTCTTTGTCGAATTATATACTATATATACATTGAAAAATGCACAATTCATTATACACATAGCTAAGCGCTTTGTATACTTCACTGTGTGTTGTAATTATACATTACCCGTTATCCACCAAAAATTTACTAAATACGTATTTTTACGTGATCCGCGCTATAGTGACAGACTGCGAAAAACGTGAAAACACGTTGCCCACATGCCAAGTGTTAAAAGACAAAGTTGATAAGCTAGATTAATCGAACTTAGTATATAAAATACCCTGTGAATGCGAAAAATGCAATATAGGAATATAAAATTCAAAAAATGGATTGATCAACACAGAAATAATTGTAAATCTACTAACACGTTAAAAACTAATACCACTGCGTTAGCTGAACATCATTTTACAACAGGGCATAATTTTAAATTTGATATAGCAACTATTTTAAATGTTGAAGACATTAAAAGAAATATAAGCGAAATATATCATATTGTCGATAATAACACGGTTAATTTCAGAACTGACACAAACAAACTATAAACAGTTTATGTGTTTTGGAAAAAAAAATATATAATGTATGCTTAGCAATAGATAGAAGACTCGAAAACATTGATATGTTCGAGGTATAAATAAAAAATATTATATATTTAACGTTTCGAAGAACTATGTATTTTTGAGGTTATTTAATTTTTGTATTTTATAATTGCTGAAGAGGTCTTAATCAATAAGATCAAAACAATATGTTCTGATTTTTTTCGCCTGTCCTACTTCCCTATGATACAAAGTTTGTATATATTTTATTTTGTGGACATGAAAAATAACTAATTGAATATTTTTTAGCATTAGATTACGCTAAAATTTATTATTACATCTTTTAAACCTAAATATGTAATGATACTCGTATTAGATAGTATGTAAATTTGAATGTTACTTATTGGGTGATTCCAAAGTATAATTTTACAAAAGAAATAAGGAAAAAAATAGTAATGTTAAATAAAAATTGATTTATATGAGTAAAATATAAATATATGGAAATAATGTATCAATCAATTCAAAAATATAGTTCAATGAGGTTTTATTCGAATTGTATCAATATAGTATAGTATTACTATAAAATTAGAGTGTTTAATTTATATATTAATAAAGTATTTAATATTTATTAAAATGTTGATATGTTGAAAGAAAAAAACATGATATAAATTTACAAATAATATATTGATTAAATTCAAGAATGTATGGTATAGTACAATTTACATTTGGATGTTAATATTGTAATATATATAGTATTGTATAATATTG